TACGTAAGGTCAGGCGCAGATAAGGTCCGTCCGTGCGTCTGCACTCCCCTTTATGGGCCATACCTAACTTCAGGGGCAGATAAGGCCCGTCCGTGCGTCTGGACTCCCCTTTATGGGCCATAACCTCAGGTGCAGACAAGTTCCGTGTGGTAAATTCAGAACACAGGGAGCCTATACCCGCGTCCGGCTTTCAAACGTCGGTAGGACTGCACAGTGCCAAGGGCGGCATTTCTCACAGGTGTTCCTCTCTCCATTACTTCCTTCTAATTCAACACAAGATCCACTCAGCGAGCATTTCTGTGCCACATGCTGCTGGCAAGGGACGTGGTCCTACTCTGGAGGAGCTCAGAACACAGCTGTGAGCTGAGACGCGAAATGATGACACCTTTCTAACAGGTGAAGAGGATCCCGAGAGCTGCAGAGACCACCAGGGAACGAGAACGGGAGGCAGAGAGAGAACAGCTCCGGAACAAGGCCGTGATAGCAACTGCCGCCTTCGAGGAGAAGTGGGGGTCTCGGGGGTTGGGGCGGGAATATCTCTGTCCCTTTTTGTGACTTCTGGATTTTAAACGACATGAATATATTACCCATTCCAAAAGTAAGGAAATAAAACTAAGAGAAAAGAAAACCCCCACCACCTTACCTCTGCCCTCCCACCGGCCAATTTATCAAGCCGGGTGGTGCTAATGGTCAACGCGCTTGGTTAACTGGAAGGTTGGCGGTTTGAGGCCACCCAGCGGCTCCTTGGAAGAAAGACCTGGTGATCTACTTCTGGAGAATCATCCACTGAAAACCCTATGGAGCGCAGCTCTACTCTGACACCCACGGGCCGCTATGAGGCAGGTGGACTCAAGGAAGCTGGTAGCTTTAGGTTACTCTGAGAGAAGATCAAGTTCCCTGGTCTGACAGACTTGGCGCCCTCGGCTCGAGGACTTGCGGGAACCCGTTGATGCCTAGAGCCACGCGCTTACAGCTGCCGCGCGCTCATTCACCCGGCCTGTGCCCACGTGCTCACAGTGACCCCCCTGTGTCCCCCCTCTGTGGCCACGCAGGGGCAGGGCACCAGAGCTCACTAGTGGTTTCTTTGTTCGTGTGTTTAATACATCAGAAAAGAACGCATATGCAAAGCATTGAGACACGAGAAAGCGCTGGGTCAATACTAATGAATCGACAAGAATTAGGATTTTGGGGAAGGTGGAAAAGGTTACCTAACTATTAAAAAAAATTGGAAACTGCAACCAAAATAAGCTGATAAAATCCCTATTAACACTTATGAAGGGTCTTTGTAAGACTTCCCATGATTTTTACTAAGCTAGAGGGCCTCAGAGATAAGGGGAGTCGCCTGACTGGTCCCCATGTTGTTCACCCCATCCCAGCCCCCTAATGAAGCAGGCCTCCATCCATCCCCATCACTGGAAAGAGGAGGTGAAGCATTTCACCTGTCTGCAGCACCACCCCTCACCAGGGACAGAGCCACTCTGCAGAAAGCACCAAAAGCTTTCCCGGCCATGGCAATTCACCCACTTTACTGTGAACTGCAAAAACCATTCAAGGCTCTCTTTAAGGAAGGCTGGGAGTGTGAGGACTAAGAAATACGGTCGCTGCCTCCACGGAGCCAATAGACTAGATGTGAAAATAAGAGGCACGTGTGTACCAACATCAGCATCCGCTGTTAACACCAACGAGCGGTGCAGGCGTCAGGCCACCACCCGCCCGGGAAGGAGACACTGCTTCTGGCTGGATGGCCAGAGAAAGCTTCTGGGACAAGCGGGGCTTGACCAGCTCTTGAGGAATCAGAGACATGGGAGTTGACTACTTTGGGAGAAATGTCAGGCGCACGGGCAGCAAGGATGAGTCTGCTGTGTTGCTTGTTTTCACAGAGAGCAAATCAGCAGGAGAGGCTGGTGGCCACAGCGCAGAGGAGAGGTAAGACAGAGGCTGAGCGGGCAGAGGGGTGTCTGCGGGAGTCACCGGGACTTCATAAGAGAACAGTGACATATGGGACCAGAGGCCAAGGAGGCAACTGACCACAGCCCAGAAGTGGGACCCGCTGGTCGAAGGGAGCCCTTGCCCTGAGCAGCAAGGAGACAGACATGCTACAAAGGGGGAGCGGGCTTGCAGGGTTCCGAGGTGAGGCTCCTGAGCCAGCGAGTTGGATCTGTCGGCACTTCCAGATGGGTTTTACGGCTGCCCACCCACCAGCTCCCCAGGGGACGTGTCATGGTTAGCTATACTCCAGGCGGTGCCTCCTATTGCAGCCAAGAATAGAAAGAAAACAAATTCAAAAACTCCCCTAGATTTGGCATCCACTGATGAGCCCAACAATCGTGACCACAACAGCCGTACAGTGAAACCTGTGAGAGCCGGAACGCGACGGGACGGCGTTGTTTTTCCTGGTCTCGCAAGACTTCCGCCTTTGACAGGGTGCAGTCTGACCACTGTTCTATCGCTCGTTTTAGCGGAAAATAATTGCGTTTTCCTTCTCTGACAGGTTTCCGCCTTACACAGGTTCTGGCTTTCGTAGGTTTTCCTGTATAACAGTGACCGTTTAAAAAGCATCTTTGCCTCTGGCCAAAAAACCAAACTAAACCCCTTGCCATCAAGTTGATGCTGACTCATAGTGACCCTACAGGACAGAGTATAAGTGCCCCATAGGGTTTCCAAGGAGTGGCTGGTGGATTCGAATTGCTGATATTTTGGTTGGCAGCTGAGCTCTTAATCACTACGCCACCAGGGCTCCTTGCCTCTGGAAATAAAACTTATAAAAGGTATCAGGAAGGGCAAAAGGAGTAACAGGGTAACACTGTATACATGTATCTATCCATCCCTTGAATACAGGGGAACTAAAAATACTGTGATGGACAGACGTGACTTTGAACGCAAAGAAACCGGGTATAATACTCGCGCACAGCACCCCTGATCCAGCGCGCCACCCCACAGCACCACGGCGCTTACAGACGACTCCACGGGGTCCCTTGGAGGAACTGTCACTACGCAACATCCACTGGCTGAACTCAGGAATCAAGCAGATTCGGCGACATTCTCAGATGCATCCCTAGCGGTCAGAATTCTGCTACTGGCGATCCAAAGCTCAGGCAAGAAACAAGATTCACATGACGTGATCTCTCTCGCATCCAAACCAAGATTTAGGCAGTGAGGGGTGATCTGTGGCTTTGGACGAATAACGTCCCTCTGAGATTTGCATATCCATAACAGAGAACGAGACCCAAACGGAAGGGAAACCAACCTGCAGCTCTCCTTCCCACCATCCTCCTGGGTTCTTTTTTCGGATCAAAATCAGTTGACCCGGGGCCAGGGTGAGCTGCTCAGGGCCGGTAGCCGTGTATGAGGCAATAACCTGGGCAATTTCTGAAAAACAAGACCAAACATTGTGAGACACTGTTACAGTCTGGGAAGGGGATTCTCAGAAGACAGCCACCTCCCAGCTCCACAAATCAACACCATCAAAACCAACGTCTGGGGCTGGCTTCCTGCTAGATGAACAAAGCTGGCTGTATCGAGACCCCACTCCGTGCGCTACAATGCAAACGAAGCATTCAAGGGGTTGGTGGCATTTTGTTCTGTGCAGGGTCCACTTCCAGGATGCCCTCATCACCTCTCAGAAGCGCCTTCCCAGCTTCCCTCCATGAACACACCCTCCTCACCCCACTTCCCACAACTTCTGTCACAGCACTTCTCACAATTACCGTGAACTCTGGTGACGCCAAGGGCCTCACGCTTCTCCGCCCCTGCCCCCGCCCCAGCGCAGTGGCAATGATGGAATAAATGAAGTTAAAGAAACTCAAGTGAAGCTCTTCCATCTGCCAAGGACAGCAGAAAGAGAAACTGTATTTTCTTCTGAAACCATCGGCTGACACGTAAGCTGTTGCCTCAGCTCTCACCCTCACCAACGCGCCTGTGTTCTCAGGGGCTCTCGGGTGGAGGGCGATCCTGGAATATCGGGTATGAATCATGTCAATGCAAGTTTATTTCCTGTTACTTCAAGTTAAGGAGGACCCTGGACTCAAGAAGGGACATTTGATGCAAAAAACAATTCAACCCAGAAAAAAATGTAAACAGTTCTGTACTTTTCCTGAATGTTAAGTCTCATGGGACAATCTCCAGCAATACCACAGACCAGGCTCTGAAAAGTCCATTTCTACTGGTTCAGGAGGTCGGGGGTGAAGAGACAAACTCCTTGTCTTTAGTGAGCTCTGGCACATCTGCAGCGACTGCTTTCCAGACTTGTAGAAGCAACACAGGACCAACTGTTCTGTTCCTCTGCAGCCTGCCCCTAAAAATGGCTCCTGGAAGGAAGGGAGGGAAGGAGGGAGGGAGCCCCCCGTCTCTGACAGTATTTCCCACTCCTCCTCTAACTCTAGGGCACAAGTAAGATGCAGGCATGTGGGCAAACCTCCGTCCTCCTGTTCTGCAGCCAGGGATGGGCCATCACGACAGGTACGCCAAGCTGTCCTGGGATAGGCCTGCCTCTGTCTGGCGCTTCGCGAGCTTGGAAGCAAGAGAGCCCAGGTTACATACTCCTTGTCTCCAAGAGCTTCAGCAGGGAAATCGGTGCTGGGGAGAAAGATTCTACTTTAACATGCCAAGGAACAGCTCCAGATTCCAAGAGCTGTCAGTGTGGAGAAGTCCAATAGTGTCCTGTTTGGCTTCAGATGTTCTTGGCTCCGCGAAGGCCCTGGCGCATGTAGCCGTAATCTGCTACAACATTCTTCTCTGTCTTCTGTGGCCCTGAATAGCTCGCTGGTTTTCAGGGCAAAGCGAGCTAATCTGGGCACTGTGTGTGAAATACCTGGGGCTTTTGGAATTACAGTCCTAAATGCAGACCAACACTCAAAGTTAGAACAGATTTGACCAGGGCAGTCCAATCTCTGGAGACAGACTAAAATCCTACCCAACCTGCAGACCCACTCTGCTTGTCAGGGAAGCCCGCTGGAGCTGGGCACCAGACCAGTCTCCCACACAAGAGGGACTCTTCCAACTGTAATATCCTAAGGATGTGGCAACAAAACAGCTCAAATGACCTGGAGGAGGAAGACGTGCCAGACGACATACTACTTCACATCTGCTTCTTTCTTCTCTCTCGTGCTCCTACTTATAGAGCGCGTGATTTTGTTTAAATAAATGACAGTACTTTGAATCCAGAGGGATGACTATAATTCCGTACCTTCAGTGTGGACCCAAGGAAAACCAGCCAGTGGCTTCTCAAGGAGCCGGATCTGGCCTAGACCATGGCTCTGTGTGTCCTTGGGCTCAGGGTGCTGTCAGGAAACGAGAAAGGTCTCCCGAGCCTCACAGGAAGGGCAGGCAGGGAGCAGCGGACCCTGCAATCTTACAGCTCCATGCCCCGCCCATTCCTGCCATCCTGCCTGGACTAACTCTTCACAACCCAGGAGAACATTCTGTCTGGTAATGTCCCCACTCCCCACGTGTGAAACAATGGCCAAGTTTCATAACCACAGATACATTATTAATGGCCTCCGAGGAAAGGATCCACTCCTTTGTTTTTATTTTAGGCTCCTGGCCGTAATAAACAAAGACGGGGAGCAGCTATCAATTACAATGAAAATGTTGAAAAATAAGGGTCAGGGTTTGTAACTTACCAGGTTTTTTTCCTAAACTCCCTGTTTTCCCCGTGGTTCCAGAGCCCTTAAAACAGAGCAAAAGGTCTCATTTGCATACTGAATCGTTTTGGTCATGCAACTTAAAAAGCAATTAATAATGATACCAACCATTTTGTGCCCTTAAGTCCCCTTTCGTTCTGGGGAAGCACAGTAGCACCATGTCACCTGACATGCATCAGGAAGACACAGGACAGAGTAAGTGCTCTAAAGCATGCAGCTTTTACTCTCTTCTGCACAAGAAACAGCAAAGAACGTGGCCCCGTGGCATCCCTGGGGCTCTGCTCAGGTAGCGACTGCGTGTGACAGGTGCGTCCCATACCTGGGTCACATCGAACGGGACTGCATGTGAGCAAGACTCCTCGTCTATACCCTGAACACTGAGCTTTTCTCTGCTGGCAAGTTGTTCATTGGGAAAGATTTCACACTTAAAAAGTACAGAGAACATAACAGACACCCCTGAGCCTACCACCCAGATCTAACACATTAAAATACTAATATTTTGCTACCTTTGCTCTAGAGTCTTATTTTGTAAGGAACTAAAACAGCACAGGCACGCCTGAGACCTCCCCAACCCGGCCCACCCCATCCACCTCTCTAACCTAACAGAAGGCCTTTCCACCAGAGTTCTACGCTCTTGGACCCTGAGACTTCTCTATCACTGCCTGAAGCATGACCCATCCGTTGAGGCGGCCATATTTCTCTCCCGCTATCAAGTCTTCCCGAAGTGCATAGGCTTGAAGTCCTCTCGTGGATACTCACGGAATGTGAACTGGCTGTGTAAGCCAACAGAGACCACGAGAGTCAGGGTAGGGCCAGGCTGTAACCTGCTGTTACAAACTGCTTTATTCAGAATGGGTTTTCACCTGAGTCCCCATCTCACAGTAGACTAGGTATTCCAATTATAACACACCAAAACAAAAGGCTTCATAAACTACATGAGAGTCACTGCAAGATTAAAGGCGTGTAACTTATCTCTCAGGAACACAACTTCTGTAGTCTCTTTATTTGGCTACTGACATTTAATAAACATTTACCAGGAACGGTTTGGGTTTAATTTTTTACTCTGATTATACTTTCTTTATGTGGTAAGCAGTTATATAATACCGATCGTTTGTTATTTCTGTTGGACAAATATCAAATAAAGGAACACCAATGAAACAAGATTCCAAATACCCAGTTAGTTTCCCAGTAACAAGCTTATAACACACTGCCTACACTCCATCAAAATAAACAGGAACAAAGCCGTCGGCAATACCCAGCAACAGAGTTCACGCAGCTGCAACGTGCTCCCTCTGAAATGCCACATGAGCACGGGAAGCTAGGATACTCAGAAGGACGGGTTCAGTCCTGGCTGCACCCCAAGAATGCTGTAGAAATGCTGCCCAGGCTCTGCACCCCCACCTTCACATCCAGAGCAGGGAACAAGGATGGGACAACCCTGCCCGTGCCCACAGACCAGTTCTGCTATCTGTATTTGAGGCTGGGTCTGCTCTTCAGTGTGGAGCACTGAACCTGTGTCCAAGGAGGATGAAAGGGCCGACTTTTCAGATTTCTTCTTTTCATTGTTGTTAAATAATGTAGCTAAATATCCCAAATCTTTAAGAGCACTGCTAGCTCTACAGCTGATCATTTAAAACTGTGGTTAAGAAAATACCTTACAACTCAGCTTGCCTTAAAAAAATGTGACTGTATTTTTTACCTTGTTGACTTCAGATTGTTTCTTACAGAAACTACAATTGATTTAAAAAAACATAATACAAGCAATGGCTTTTGTGTTTTAACTGATGCAAAAAGTAAGGTCACTTGAGGAGTTTTCACGCAAGGTAGTAAAAATCTTCAAGTTGAGCTTTTCGTGTTTTTCCTCTACTTCCCTCAAATACCGTTTGTCTAACGCTTACTGGATCCAACTTGCTGGCCTGGGGAAGGGTTTCATTCTCCCTCTCCAGGTACGGAGTGCAACACCCCTGCTGGCTCACAAGGGACGAGAACTTTCTTCCTGATTTCTGCCAAATTCTCAAGGGCAGGCATCTTAGGCAAATCCCTCAAGGGGCATGTCAGCTCTCTGCTCTCAAGACCACAGCATGCAGGAAAAAAAATCAAAACAACACCATCACTCCCTAAAAAAAACAAAACAAAAATAAAAACCCCACAAATAAAACCTTTCCTGAGCTCTGCAGGGAAGGGGAGGAGGCTGAAGGCAGAACTACCCCAGCATGACACCAGGCCCAGCCTCGCCCCTAAAGCAGCAACTGGTACTGGGGTCTGCAGAGGTCCCAAGAGACACCCTCCTGCTGCTGCTCTTAGGTGCCTTCGAGTCGACTCCAACTCATAGCGACCCCATGTGGCAGAGCAGAACTGCCCCACAGGATTTCCTAGGCTGTAATCTTTACGGGAGTGGATCACGAGGTCTTTCTCCCGTGGAGCTGCTGGGTGGGTTAGCAGCTGAGGGCTTAACCGGTGACCACCAGGCTTCCTTCACACCCTCCTGCCCGCATGTAGAGGAGAGCGAGAGCTTCGTACACGCGCTTTAATCTGAGGACACGGCCTCTATAGGTTCTTTACCAGGTTCCTCTCTCAATGCCTAGGAGGCATGAGGAGGAGAAGAAAATACCTGTGAACTGACTGCCTATATTAAAAAACGTCAAGCCCTGTTTGTTTAAGGATGTGCACTGGATCTGTTAAACAACCACGTTTATACCCTGGCACCCCAGCTTCAGACCGGCCATGGCGGGAGGGGCCCACATTTCACTCAACTCCACTATCACAAACCGCACTTTATACGATCAAGTTTTTAGGACCCACTTAACAGTGGGAGCTACTTTCAATTTATAAGGATAACAACCTTTCAAATAAATTCAGCCCTGATCAATGGTGATAGTGGGGCTTAGCCAAACATATACGGATCTCTGAGATCTTATGTCTTGCTGTGTGGATAAATACTGAAATTTTAGAAGCTCTCTATTGCCCAATATTCTGGGGCCAGTATCCCTAGAATACTTCTGTTCAGAAGGGCAAAATATTGCTGTGTATCTCTACTGAGGCATCTGCAATCAATAAGCACGAATGCCTAATTGATAAAGTCTGTTCCAAATCATAAGCCAGTTACAGGCAGGAATAGAAATTATTACTGAGCATTGTAGCTTCCACTTGGCACCGTGAGTTCTTTGGTCTGTGGGAGGCCAAGGCCTGCCCTGCAGCACCAAATGAGAAGTTCAGACAATTACAGATCGCACTGCATTTCTGTCGCGTTCCAGAACTTAGCAAAACCCAAGCAAGCATTCCATGGTCAAACACAGTGACCCCCAGCGAAAAGCCACTGAACAGAAGGGAGAGGAAACAGTTAATGTGGGTTTACCTCTGAATCTTTAAGCCTCACATAGTTGGAAGGGAAGACTCCGGATCTGTCGTCCACTGTTCCTGTCCACCAGTCACCATCTTTCTTGGTAACCAGAATCACATCCCCTTGCTGAAAGGTTAGATCTCCTTGCTCAGAACTCTCGTAAGTGTACATGGCAATAAATTCTGGTGGGGAGAAATATTGAGATACGGAGAGAGCTTGATTGTTGGAAGAAATCCCAGACAGCTTTGCAAAAGCAAGTTCATGAATAAGGAAGTTAGACTAAGAGCCATTCAAGAAAAAGGCTAGTCACAGATAAAACAGAGTTACAGAGTACATCCTGGGCTCCAAATCCCCCATCACCCATAAAAATCTGGTCACTGTAGATGAGGAGACAATTCGTGCAAAGACCCAGCCACAGGAGCAAAACACCAACTGCAGGTCTACAGCAGTGGGTATCAGGGGTCTACAGTTCAGTGTCATGATTTCTTTTTGAATGAAAATGGCATTTGCATTTAGTTTTAACTAACGTTTACTGAGTCCAGAGCCCTGGGCTAGATGGGTTCACTGCAGGCTCCTGCGACTCACTCAGCCATCTGCATTTCAGTTTTGAAGGTATCCAGACACAGTTTTAGAAAATTGGTCAATGCAGTGCATCCTTTACATAAATTAGACACTAGGACACATTCGACTGCCTGAATAAAAACGTATGTCCTATTGTGCCATATATAGAGACGGCAGGAAACTAGTAGGACACAAAGTGAAAAACAGGCTGTTTAGTTAAGACTGGGCCTCTACTTACCAGTCAAGACATCAACAGGTCAAGTGAGCTGATGATAAAAGTCGCGTCTACCCCACCCCAGAAATGAATCAAGCCTTTTCCGACACATTGGGAAAGAGCGAGCCACAGGTGCCTACACGTTATTATTTCTGTAATTTAGTCTCAAAGGGTAAGAACTGCTTCAGTGTCCTGAGTTGGAGGGGTGTGCATCACAGAAGAAAAAAAAATTTTTAATTGTAAGTAGAACTTTGCGTCCTTCTTAGCTGCTGTTCCCAAGGTTTAGGAAAAAAGTCCTGCTCAGAAAGATCGCTAGACGCAAACTTCCAGGCTCTACGCTAGACGCAGCCACAAAAAGAGGAACACAGGCTTCTCAGTTTCTGCTCTTCCTCCATCTTATCCGAAGCCTTGGTATGTTTCAAAAAGCAACAGAAAGATCACCATCTGCTCTGAGCGTTCATTGTTATAGTGGATGTGGCATAAACTTAGGTGCGATTCCTAACTGCAGAGTCCAGTGTTAATCATCAGGCAGAAATCTGGTGGAGAAGAGTCCACATGCCAATTATGAAAACCTCTGCAGGTGCCAGTAGTGAAAACTCAAACACGCACACACTTAATGCTCGTGTTAAGGAAAACGTTTTCTGTTTTCTGTTGTGGGGCAGCCACGAGGGGCTCCCCAAGGGCCCCCTTCAACGTCAGCAGTGCTGACCCATGCGTGCGCGGGGCCAGCAGCCGCAGGTCATCCCAATGGTCTGGGAAACAGAAGACTCTGTGTCTCTAGCTCTCCAGTGCTGGTAACCATACCTCCACAGTGAACACTGGAGAAATGATTTCCCACACAAGGAAATCCAAGTTGGCAGCTTTCATAAGGACATTCTTTTCTTGTTAATCTACTCATCTGCTGATTTCTCAACATTCTCACCCTTCCCTTTTACTTTGCTCCCTGAGACTGCTCCTCACTGCAGATCCCAGGTTTGGCCATGTACAGCTGAGTTCTTGGCAACTGTACTTTGCCCAACGATTCCTGCATCTGAAAGTCACATTCTTAAAAACGAACCCACATTTTGAAGAAACCTCAGAAATGTGAACCCTCGCTGAACTTGACATTGCAGCATAAAGCACAGAGGCAGCAGCAATGCTCTCTGAGGCCTTCCCCACTCTCCCTGCACACAGGCGTCTGGGAGGCTGCCTTCGGATTAAAATAAAAATAGGGACATGACGAGAAGCATGCAGGGGCCCTCATCTGTCACACGCTGCTCGTAAGAACTCTGACGGGGCACCGGCCCTGCTCAAACCAAGATTTTAACACCTACCCAAGCTGACAAGCTATTTAACTGGCTTGCAGTTCACTTCAAATTGCATTATTTTTAAGGTAGCAGTATTAACAAATGGTTCATTAATATGTATAAACAGCTCTTCTCAGAAGCCCGTGTCTTCCCTCACCCTTCGTGCCAGTGGACTTCCCTGACGTCTCTTTACCTACAGCAATCAAAATGGATGTGATAAACGTCATCTGAGATCAGGATGTGTTCTGTCCTCTCAACTTTAAGTACGTGTGTGGCTCATCTGTAAACTGTTCATGAGGCCTCAGAAAGAGAAAGCCACGGCCCATTTCTCAAAACAAATCAACATCAGTGCCAGGTGGTGAGAACACTCCCTGCTGTAGGTGGTTCGATCAGGAATCCAGGAAACAATGCCAAAGGACATAAAAGTGCCTGACACTGACTCAGCTTTGTCCTAACAGCTTTACACACAGCATCTCCTGATCCTTGCGGGAATCGCCAGCCTCAAGGCCTGGTTATGCCCACCTTACGGATGAGGAAGCTAAAGCATGACCAAAATCACAGGGTTACTTGGTGAGAGCTGGGAGACAAAGTCCGGCCTCCAGTGACACTTGAATTGGATAAAACAACCAAAAAATAAACCAGACCCACTGCTGTTGAGTTGATTCTGACTCACAGCGACCGTACAGGACAGACTAGAAAGAACGGCCCCGTAGGGTGTCCAAGGCTATGATCTTTACAGAAGCAGGCTGCCACACCCTTCTCCTGTGGAGCGGCTGGTGGGTTCAAACCACCAACCTTTCGGTGAGCGGCCGAGCGCTTTAACCACTGTGTCATCAAGTGCTTCACTTGTATTAAAACTCAATTCTCCCAGTAACAAGCACTGTGCCACCAGGACTCCTGAACCGGATCTAACACATTCGATTTTGAAGGGGGGAGGCCACAGTTCCCTTTATGCTGTACTGACTGAGCACACCGGGATTAAGGGGCCTTTTGCCTTGTTAACAGTGGGTAAAAAATGCACTAAAATGATGGGACTGTATACGGAGAACTATGCTAATGACTATTTGGGCGGTAACTGTAAAACCTGGGTGCGGTAAACTGCTGGACTTGCTCAGTGACGGAGCTATTAGACCTACGCCTCTGTCATTCTGAGTCTGAAATCCTGTTAAACCTCAGTCCTCACTGTCTCCGTGGAAATAACTGTTTCATTCTCTCTGTTTTTGATAAGGCAAGGCTCCTAAGGACTGCAACAATCTCATTACAGCAAACTAAATAAAACACGACAGCCTCAGGTAATTCATTCAAAAAACGTGAAGAACTGTTCCTCTACGACTGGTTGGTGATGCCACGGTAGCTGCAAACGCCGTTCAGACTTCTGCAGGGAAAGCCTGTCTGACTCAGGGGCTGCGCCTCAGGTAGGACCATGATAAATACAGAAACAAGAGGAGATTTTTACCACTAAAGCCTGGGTTCTCTAGATTTTGTTCATTGAAAAAAATTTTTTTTGATTAATAGCCCATATTATATGCTGGTATTTATATAATATTTATGATTATGTCACAAAGTAGAGACCTGGAAATAATACAACTAATTATTTGTGTAATAAGCACTCAAAATGAATTATGTAGGCCTATATAATCTGGTCTGGTTATTTACACGAATATAAAAACCAAGCTGTTTTATTTGGGGTTATACAGATGGCACTAATATTATGTGAGAGTTTTACTGGACTTTGTAGATGTGGTTTTAAAACAAAATATCTAAAATCAGACAAGACTACGTTGGGGGAAGCAATAAACAAAATTTAGCTACAGAGACGCTCAGAAAGTTGTGTCCTCATTGAATTTGATGGCCCTCTTTCAAAAGTCCAAAAAAAAGTCAAAGGGCTCATAATCAAATATAATTAGACAATTCATCATTCATTAGAAAATTGATGATCAATATATCTGACAGTATTTTGAAAGTCTCCATAATGTACCTTGATTTTGTAAAGGGCTAAACCTTCATTTCACTTCATGGTTTAACACACCGAGCATTAATTAATGCAGTCTGTTTTAAAACGAAGCCCAGTCTCCTTTCCAACACTGAATTCCGTACCTCCCTCCCTCTTCTAGAGAACAAGTGTGACTTGGGTTCTCACCTTCTCCCAAAGCGGCTGGCTTGGCTGCTGGTGAAGCTACTCGCTTCAGACGTGGGCTTTCTGGAGAAGCAGACTCCGTGCTGAAAGAGGGGAAAGCCCTATTTTACTTTTTAGCTTAACAGAGAATGGTAAAAATAACACTGATTTCTCTCTTTTGAAACTGCTTAACTTTACAAACAATCCACAACACTTTGAACAATCTACAGCTGATATAACTGCAAAATTGGCCAAGTTAAGAACACGTAACAAGGTGTACCATCCTCGCCACCAAAAGACATGATTCTGTGCTGACATTCTTGTTTTCCAGCACTTTCCGACGCTGGACACACAGCCCATGGACTGATCTATTTCAAAGCATGTCTCATATGTGCTCATTGAACAGTCTTGTATTTTTATCTTCTTAAAGTTCACAATTATTACTGGAACATCTATTTGGCTGGAATAACTAAACAATGGCCTTGCTAAGGTTCCATGCTACAACAAGACCCTAATGAAAAAGGTAATTAGTTCTTCCAATCACGTCCCCACATGCTTTGGGCTCACTGCTAAGTGCCCACGAAGCTGGCCCAGGACTAGATGCTGAGCAGGAAGACAGTCACAACCCCAACAAATCCGCCAGAATGTTCCAGGTCTCTGAGTAGAATTCCCTCTTGCACAAGTCAATGAAAAACAAGGTTCCCAGCGTCCCCAAGGGAAGAGGAAATGACCGCTTATCTACCTGCAAGGCACTCCCTGCTCGCCCACAGGTGCTCTAACTTGCGCAGTTAAAAGACAAAAGATTTTACAGAAGACAAAATGATCCTGCAAAACTCATTTTATCTGCGAATCTTAACTAGTGCAAACAACGAGGTAACGCCTGATATGTATACATTTTTGTCAGACACAAGCAGATGAACACACAAATACCTTGTGGATCTCCTGACGGGCCCCGAAATGAGCTTCACGTATGACTTGGGGAACCAGCCCTTCTGGCCTTGGACTTCTCCAAACCACCACATGTCTTGCTGTTCCAGGACAGTGATGACGTCGTTTTTGTTAAAATTTAAATGGTTGTCTTTTTTGGCTCTCCAAGGATACAGCGCTTGTGCCTGCAGCCCCTCCACCTTTTCACCCTTGTGGGAAATAACATAAAGGAGTCCTCATTACATTACTGTTTGTTACAACCGAAGGTAGATGTTGACATCTCTCCGATCGGCACGCATGAGCATGCACACAGCCACCGAGCACCACCGCTGCAGCAGAGCACGAGTGCTAGATGCTTCTCTCTTTTCTCAGTGATTGTTTACTTCCTAAGGTGAGATGGAAACCTGCCGGCCCACTCACAGGGCCAGTGCCTGGCCACCGAACTCACTGCTGTCAATTGCGACTCCTAGCAAACCTAGCAGAGTAGAACTGCCCCATAGGGTTTCCAAAGAGAAGCTGGTGGACTCGAACTGCCGACCTTGTGGTTAGCACTGTGCCGCCAGGTCTGGCCACCTCGAGCCCTCTGTTTAAACAAGCCAGGAGCCCCTGGGGACCCGCTGCACCTGGCCACGCAACCTGTGTGCTCCGGTTCTTTTTTCATTCTCAAGCTGTCCGGGCGCTTCCCCATTTCCAGTCTGACCTGGAGGGTTAACACGGAAGTGGAAATGGGATGAAACCTCCCAGGGTAATTAACTGACATCACAGCTCAGATCCAGGACACAGGGACATATGCTCTGTGTCGGACTGTGCTCACTTAGAGAAACAGGGATTTGGTTAACATGCACTCACTGTAAGGAGTGGCTAGAAGACACTCATCCTGGGATCTTGCAGTTTAATTATCGTTTATTCTCCACCATATGAAAGGCACTACGGTTACAGTGAATGACATGCACCCACTCTGCCTCCCCTGATTAATTCAGTTAAGTCGCTTTATTAACCATAAAAACCAGTTGTCGTCAAGTCGACCCCGACCATGGTGACCCCATGGGTGTCAGAGTAGAACTGGGCTCCACGGGGTTTCCAATGGCTGCTTTTTTGAAAGTAGACCACCAGGCCTTTCTTCCCAAGCAACTCTGTGTGGGCTCAAACCTCCAGCCTTTTGGTTAGCTGCTGAGTGTGTTAACTGTTGCACCACCCAGGGACTCTATAAAGCACTGTAGAACGGACGGGAACATTATTAGCGAGGAACTCACAGTCACTGGGGGAGAAACAGATAAAACAACTACTTGTGCCACCGGCAGGATAAAATACGCTAAAAAGAGGCTCCACCCAGTCACCGTGGGAGCGGAGAGGAAAGGGGGTGACTTCTGCTGGGAAGCGGCAGGGAAAACGTCACAGAGGAGGCAGCGTTTGAGGTGGGCCCTGCAGGACCAGAAGGGCTTTGACAGCTAGGGCTTCGGAGGTGGGGCACTGCAGGCTGAGGGCACAGCACGGGCAAAGGCTTTGAGACGGCATGCCGCAGAGGGTCCAGGAAGAGGGGTGCAACCCAGGGGTGCGTGTGGCCTGGCGTCGTGGAGAGGTGGAAGAGGACCACAACTCGGGGGTGTGAGCGGCCTGGCATGGTGGAGAGGTGGAAGAGGACCACAATTCAGGGGTGCGTGTGGCCTGGTGTCCTGGAGAGGTGGAGAAGGACCACAACTCGGGGGTGTGAGCAGCCTGGCGTCATGGGGGTGTGGAGGAGGACCACAGTCCGGGGGTGTGAGCGGCCTGGTGTCATGGGGGTGTGGAGGAGGACCACAGTCCGGGTGGGAGTGTGGAGAAGGACCACAGTCCGGGGGTGTGTGCGGCCTGGCGTGGTGGAGGGGTGGAGGAGGACCATAATCTGGGGGTGCATGTGGCCTGGCGTCATGGAGAGGTGGAGAAGGACCACAGTCCGGGGGTGTGAGCGGCCTGGCGTCATGGGGGTGTGGAGGAGGACCACAGTCCGGGGGTGTGTGCGGCCTGGCGTGATGGAGGGGTGGAGGAGGACCATAATCTGGGGGTGCGTGTGGCCTGGCGTCATGGAGAGGTGGAGGAGGAGCTGAGGCTGGAAAGGCAGGGAGGCATTTATTATCTTTTTTTTTCAAAAAAAAAACACAACTGTTGCATAAAACCATTACTAAAAAATAAAACAGTGTCAACTTTCAGATATATATGTAAACGGAAAGGAACAAAGGACAATGCCCGAAATCAATTCATTCAAAAGCAATCTGTACTTGTCTCTGGGAGTTATTTCATGCTGATTTTTAACTATGATCATGTTGGATGAATGGAGAATTTACAATGGGTCAAACAGTTTCTGCATCCATGTCGATAACCTCTAAATCCCCATCTTTGCACTTCTCACCTTAAACCCACGGCGCCCCGTTTCCTTCCAGCTCAGCTGAGCACCCCTTTGCCTCTCTCAGAACTTTCTCTGAATTCAAACACCCCCAGGGGCCTCAGTCCTCCCCCTCTCACCCTCGCAGCGAACCTCAGCTCGCCTGGCCGCAGATCCCCAAACCCTCCTGAACTGCTGAATCCCCAGCCCGTCACTCACTTCTCCTCCAGGAAGGGACCCCAGAGCCAGCCATGTCAGCTGTGCCCTCACTGGGACTTCAGCATCTCTCCCCCAGAGAGGCCTCACCTGTGCTGGCCTTGACAATCTTTTCATGCGGATGTGACCTAACCACCCAGCCGGGGCTGAACCCCAGCTCTGTCACTTACTAATTATGTGACCGTGGGCAATGGTTCAGCCTTGCTAAGCCTCGGTGTCCACATCCGTCATTAAGGAAGCCGAGTATCCGTGCACAGAGCTGCTCTGACAGTCACAGTAACAGCAGCGGTAGCTTGTGGTTGGCCCCCGGCGCGCGGGCCCTCGCTGTCCGGCACGTTAGCATGCTAAGCCCTTCCCACCCCAGTGACAGCTGTTACCTGGCCTAACACAGGAGACGGAGAGGAGCCCGTGGCCGTGGCCGGAGTAAAGGCCGACCTCTGCCTTAACTGGCCGGTGCTCGGGACGGTGAGCGAGGGCTGGGCTGCCCATGCGTCCCAGTTATCCGTTTCTGGCTTCTCGCTCGTGCTGGTGGGCCACCTGGGAAGCAAAGCACAGCGCCATAAACAGCAGGACCTGCTAGGAAACAGCTTCTCACCCACAGCAAGCTATCAGCCCCCGTAACACCATCCGTGACATCTGTGTGGCTTTCTCGAGTGAAAGGACAAAGCAGAGGAAGAGGACAGGTCGGAGTCTGCGTGTCACCATGAGCCATGAACCGCGGAAGCCGGCAGAGTTTCTCCGAGCCTTGGTTTCCCCGCTGATCAAATGAGAACAATACTCTGCCACTGTTGTTAGTTGTGAGGGTCGCATGAAATACCAGACAGGACAATACAGCAAAACCTGTGAAAGCTGGAACCTGTGTAAGGCAGAAACCTGTCCAAGAAGGAAACGTCCAATATTTTCCACTGAAACAAGTGACAGACAGCCACCCAAGATACAACTATTGGTCTCTATTCGTAGGGTGCAAAAGAGAATGAAGGAAATCAAAGCCTCAAAGAAGAAACTAGTCCCCAGGACTAACAGCCCCCATGACCCACAGCCTCTTCCAACCTGAGACCAGAAGAACTAGGCAGTACTGACTGTTCTGAGCAGGGACACAACAGAAAGTCCCGGACAGAAGGGGAGAAAAATGTAGAACAAAACTCAAGTTCCTAAAAAGGGCCAGACCTACTGGACCAATGGATACCAGAGGGACCCCTGAGACTATCGCCCTAAGCTACCCTTTGAATTTGGAACTGAAGATATTTCTCTAGGTCACCTTTCAGCCAAATAACAGATTGGTGTATAAAATAAACAATATTACCCGTGAGTAATGTTCTCCCTTAAATAATTCACTATATTAGATCAAACGGTCAACATTTACCCAAAAGTAAAGGAGAGAAGGCAAGGAGGGGCAGGGAAGCTAGATCAATGGAAACAGAACGAACAGAATGGAAATAATGAGAAAGCTGACACATTGTGGAAACTGTAACCAATGTCACGAACAACGTGTATAAACACTGTGAAGTGGAAACTGAATTTGCTATGTAAACTTTCACTAAAACACAATAAAATATTACTAAAAATAAGCAAACAAATAAAACAAGCGACAGAAACGTGGTGAGACTGTCCAAGGCAGAAAACTTGCAAGACCTGGAAAAACAAGGCAGTCCCATGGAGTTCCGGCCCTCACATGTTTCGTCGTACTTTGTAACTCTAAAGCACCAGAGAAACAGCCACACAGGCTCGCTACCATCAGCTGTAACAGCAATAACTAAATGAGGGAAAGGAAGTGACGTACCGCCTTTAACACGTGTGGGCTTGGGCAGCGGGAGCTTCTCAACACCATCTCCCCGTCCCTTTGACCTCACAGTAAACACCTGTCGTATGCCTGGACCCCTGCTGACAACAAGCGGGGTCCTTACAGCAACCAGCTGCCCAGGACCTCAGGGTCAGCTCCAATTCTGTAATTTTATCATTTTAAATGAAAAGGTCTGCATGAGTGCAGGTCTACATGCAATTTACTTTTTACATCTTTATGAGACATACAGGAGCCTGGGCGGTACAAGCTGTTTGCCATCAGCTGCTAACCTACAGGCTGGAGATTCAAACCCATCCAGCGACTCGGAAGAAAGGCCTGGCGATCTGCAGCTAAGAAAACCCTGAGCAGTTCCAGTCTGTAACACATGGGGTCACCAGCAGTCAGGAATGGACTCGCTGGCAAGGGGTTATAGGACATATAACTAATTCGAAAATCAGAATCACACATCCTGATTTTTGGTGTGGAAACAGGACGCCCATAATGTACTCGGGAGAGCTGCGCACCGTGCGGTCATCGCGGAAGGGGCCGCACCGATGTGACCCGCAGCGTTTGTCTTCTACGTTAGCCTCAGCTGTGGCTCAAAAAGTCAAACCTTTTAAACGGCATCAAGAGACGAGTTTCAACTTGGAAGTCCTGGTTTTAAAAGGTTTTTTTTTTTTTTAAATTGTACTTCAGCTGAAGGGTTACAGAACAAATAGTTTCTC